TTAAAAACGAAAATATCTTGCAACACAATGTCGATACTCACTTGTTCCTTTCCTTTTAATAGGTTATCAATTTTTTCCTCAAAAATGTTGAGAAAATCTTTATATTCGCTAATGGTTTTTTGTAAATTTATATTTGCCTCCTCCAATTTTTGAATTTTATTCTTTATTTTTTTATTAATTCAAAAGGCTAACAAACAATTTGCTTGAATTGTTTGAAGATATCAACTTTTCATATCATTTATGCTAAAGAACATCCAACTGGCATATCGTATAAAAGCGAATGAGTTATAAATGCTAAAAAAAATCATTTATTTATGCGAAGGAATATATTGATTGGGAATATATATTATATAAACATTCTTATTTCAAGTATAGAAATATATTTCACATGATTATAAAACTATTAATTTTAAAGTTTTTGTTAAATTTGTAAATCCTGAAATGAATGAATATTTATGTCAAATCATATAAATCGAACCATTTGTTGATTTGTACAGGTACATACATAGTTTTTTAAACAGTACATTGCGATAAGAAGCATCGCGGAAATTCTACCGTGACAGGAAGTAGCGACGATTCTAAATGCGGTACTCGAAAATTGGAGGTTATCGCGTGACTTTTATTCGGAAGATTTTTTTCTCATGCAACATTATTCCATAAAAATCGGAATAATATTCCAAGCGAGGTAATCTTCGAAGTATCATGTTCTGTATAGCTGTAATCATTTCTGCATGAAGATATATCACATATGTAGAACGTGTGCGGAATTGTTCTTCAACGATATTTTCTAATTAGAAATCATAAACACGCGATAAAGGCTACATTTGAATGAGACAGTGGACGGGAATTTATTTGAAATTATAATTCGTCTGCGGAAAGTAATATAAAATAAAATTATACTTTGTTTATTACCTACTGCGGCGTCTACTTTTCATATAATATGTTTGTTAAGAATTAGTCAAGAGAATTAATTGCGATAAAACACTTTGAAGCCCTACACTGAGAAATTTGTTAATCCGAAAAAATATTTAGTTTGATACGTGCAACTAAACATTTTAGTAAGTTTAACTAAACATTATATAGTTGAATTAATTAATTTTTGATTAAAAAATTTTGACGGTTGACTAGAATGCACTATATACCTTTTTTTAGTGCAACTTAATAATTGTTGAAACAACTAATGTTTAGTTGCACGTATTAAACTAAATATTTTTTCGGATTAATAAATTCTTCTTCTCAGTGTACCGACAGAGCAAATATAAATTATTTTCTTGTTTGCTTTCTCGTACATTCGTTCTTAGTCGCGTCGATTTTACAACTATGTAATAAGATTCAGGCAATGTCCTGTCGCATTTGTTAGAAAAAAAAATCATGAAAAAGATGACTCAGTCAGTCACACAATTAGTTATATTTTTTCTTCAGAAAACAAACGCGTCGAAATGCTGCTAGATTTTTGTACCGTATTTTCGTGCGCTGGGCTCGGTCGTGAAGCAGGCAGGGTAGAACCCGGTGGAACTTAAACGATCATGAAACTTTGTTATAGGCACGAACGCACGCAAGCATGCATGCACGCGAGCGGGCACGCACGCACGCACGCATGCACGCACGCACGGCACGCACGCGACCACGCACGCGGGAATTGTCGGGTCGCGTTGGCCTGTACAGCGGTTGAATATATGCACGCGAGCACGCACGTAAGCACTTGCACGCATGCACATTCAGCTTCGCTTTAATGCGAGCCTACCGTGCCGCGGAACGACTTTTGCCTTTCGATCCAACGCTACCCGCGCTGCTTTCTTACACGAGAAATAACGTCTCGTAGACTAGATTGTGAAAATAAACGTATAACGATGATAACGATGGGAGCTCTCATTACGACTCCGGAGTATTTACAACTTTCCAGATTTTGCTCCTTTTTGAAGAAATTTTCATGATTATTTGCCTTTATATCGCGAGAAAAATTCTTTAATCATAAGAATGGCATAATAAATTAAATTTTGGAGACGTTATTATCCGTCTTAGTTACGCAGTAATTTTCCTTTCACTTTCGCGAACGTTAAAGCGTAAATGTCAAGTTGTATAAATTAATCGTCGAAGATAATATTAGAATTTTAATAATTATAAATTATAATATTCCTATGTTGTGATGAGAGGATGAGTTTATTGGACATTTTGATAATTATTATGATTTACGTGTGAATAAAATAGAAACAAAAAGTAGTTTCAACCATTATCTGCTATTTTATTTTCAATGCAGGAAATGCAGTTGAACGCTTACGGATCTATTCTAAAGCTATTTTAGACTAGAATCTAGGATTCGTGTCAGAATTTATAATAGAATTTTATTTATATCTTCATGTAACACATGCCATGTAACGTGAAAAAAACATTCGAGGAAACACGCACACATAAAATATATATCAAAATAATACGATAAAGTAAATCACAAGAAATATACTCATAAAATTTGTAATTTTAAAATACTAAAACTTATAATTTTATATTAGATAAATCATAATTAATAAATACTCGAAGATTATTGTGCATGGCATGTATATCAAAATACCCTGTGATTTTATCGAGTAATAGATATACGTATTGCGGCGATATATTCAAGGTAGTAAGATATTCGTATTGCATACGAATGTTCTACTGGTCGAGATGCATATAATTATTTATTCCGTTACGATGTAAATAGAGCGACTGTGGATGTGGGGCGTGTGTGTGGAGACATGAGGCTCACATCCACGCATAAAAATAGATTTAAGTTAAGGTTTTTTTAGGTTATTTCTTCCGGCTGGAAGAATTTAGTGCCTTCAAGCCTTTAAGTTAAGTTAAGTAGAGAGTAAGATTAGGTTTTAAGTTTTGTAAAAAATGTAAAGAGAAAAAATTGTAACCTCAAGAGGATAAAAAAATCTACTACTGTTACTATTATATTTATTCCGTTACGACAAGACGTGACGTTGCTGGATTATGGAACGCTGAAGCGTTTGAATTTGGCGCGCTTATACTCCACGGACGGCCATGCTGCTCGTGGTTGCTCTCCCGACTCCGGCGATGTTTGTGCGTGCCTGGCACGATTGCGGTGGTCCCACTTCCCACTGTCGCGCTCGCTGGCGCTCGCCGTCTCCGTTGTCGCGTGAGAAGGCCCGCGGACACCACCGCACGGTGCGACAGCGTCCCGACAATACGAGAGAGAGCGTGCCCCGTCCGATCGTGCCGCGCGACATGTCAAGTCAAATATGTCTAAAGTGGAACAGTTTTCTCAGCAATATCGCGACCAGCTTCGAGAGCCTGTGGGAGGAAGAGGGCCTGGTGGACGTGACACTCGCGAGTGACGGCCAGTGCCTCACGGCGCACAAGGTGATACTCTCGGCCAGCAGTCCCTTCTTCAAGAAGGTCTTCCAGGTAAGTTTCTCAGTCAAGGTCGTCCGCGTGATCGACCCCGCGAATCCCGCGTACGACGAGATCCTCGGTCACTAGTCGGACGCGTCCACGTCGCTCGTCCGAGGCCCGTTCTCGCGTCGCACGCGTCTTGTCATGCCCCTCGACGACAGGCGGGCGAAACGATTGCGTTTGACAGCTGTCGCGTAGCCTCCGGAGCGCTCTCGCATCGAGGTTAGAGGATCACCGCGACTATTATCGAGAAAATCCTAACGATTGTTGACTGCACGAGGCTACTAGTTGTTTGGCTCTTTCTCGCTTATCTCGATTTTTGTCGGTATTATGTCTCTTCCTTTTCCATTTCTCAGATGATAGATCATTCTCTGACAGGCTGTCGATAGTTGAACTCGCTGCAGTACAAAATGCTAATTTTAGCATTTAAGCATGAGTTTTATTTATATTTCGTTTTTCCTTTGAAATGATGATAATTAATGATAAAAGTAGCTCTAAATAAAGAACTAATCAATTATTGTACGTACGATAAAAACGAATGATTCTTGAGTATTTACTAACTGTAATTTATCCAAGATAAAATTATAAGTTTTTATACTTTACTTATATTAGAAATTTGATTAGTATTCCTCCTTTATTATTATTATTATTATTATTATTATTATTATTTGCTGTCACTATAAATAATACTCTGAACGTAATTTCTAAAACGACACATTTATCTTGGAAAATTGCTTACAATAAAATTAAAATAGTTAATTAAATTGAAAGTAAGAAGAGAAGCAGATGGCTCATTGGTTAAAATGTTTAAAGAAGTGACAATTTTGATATGCGCGAATACTTACGATCAATTAATTAATGATATAGATTAATGATTTGAATAATATAGCCTGACAGTTTTATTCTCTTTCATTTTCTAGACAAACCCGTGTCAGCATCCGGTTATAATACTTCAGGATGTACACTTCAGCGAGTTGGAGGCACTATTAATATTTATTTACAAAGGGGAGGTAAATATTGAGCAAAAGAATTTACCAGCACTCTTAAAAGCAGCAGAGACATTACAAATTCGGGGCTTGTCTGGCGGAGACATCTTTGCAAAGGAATCCTACAAACGACTGGCTGAATTAGAACAGGCTGTGGCCGAAGATGCGTCGCTGAGCAAGGAGGAGACACCTAAAAAGAAACAGAAAGTTAGCAAACAACAGAACAACTCAATTTTGGAGAAAGCGCTAACACCTAGAATATCTCAGTCGGAAAATACAAACGAATCCGCTGCCAGCGATCAAAGCGGGAAAGATGGAGAGTACATGTTGCCTGAAACATTACCTAATCCAGTATATCATCGTTTGGAGATGAAAGTTAGTTCAGAAGATAGAAAATTGTGATAGGGATGATAAAATAATTGCGTGTAACATACAATTATGTATATGAAATACAGCATTTAATCCAAATGTATTTCAGATAGAGCCATTGGAAATGACGGTAGACGATCTCCAGAAACGATCTCCTTTAGATAAGGATCCAACAGAAAGGCTAGACACAGGACAAGCGGATGGGAACCAAGGTTAGTATCATACATACCGATCAAATCTTTCTTATTTTATGCTATTTAGTACACGTTACAGGACATATGTATAAATAGCCAGCTCTTGTACATTATATTTTATGTTTTTCTGTGTTAGAAAATCATGTATGACATTAAATGACACACCAAGTCTTTTCTTTTTGCATTTTCACTGCTATATTGTTGCTAATGTCTTGGTTTTATATTAAGTACAAATCCATTTAATTAGCTATTTAGAGATATGACTTAAACACATAAAAACATATCTGTATTTACGAGACACCATACCTTGTAGTTTTTTAAGTATTTTTATAGTTTTTTAATTGTATTTGAAAATGACTTCTTTTACTTATAATTTAATCAATAATCATAGATTATTATTCGTTGCAACATTTGAATTTCCAACATTAATTTTGTAAATTACACTCTAGTATCTTATAATATATTAGCACTAAAAATATCAAATTTAAATATTCCATTATTGAAAGAAAGTAACTTGTTCTTAATAATTTCTTGAATTTGCAAATTATTAGCACATTTAATACGTAGATTGTCATTTTTATTAGTAATTGAACGTATCAAGTTTGACAAATATACGAGCTATTATTATTATTAATCTATTTGGAAAATAGTTTTGTTAAAGTAATAAATTTTACTTTATTGTGGATACAATTTGCTTTTACGGGAACCGGATATCAGATAACACTAGCATATATTGTTCTTTAAAATGTCGTTTTCATTATCGCATATAATATATAGTTAATATTACCACATGCACAAATGCTGTATACAATTGTATACACAGATTCGCTGTCTTTGCATATGCCGGCGGCTACTGTAGTATCAAAGCTTTTTCTTTGGTACCGCAGATAGTAGCTTTTTCGAATATTCTGTTCGCTTTCGCATATGTTCTGTTCTGCTCGTTTTGGCGCGCCACGTTTTCTTTATTTGCTGTGCTGCAAGGGCTCCGTGTGTGAGAGGTAGAGACAAAGATTGCGTGCACGAGTAAAGAGAACTCTATCGAAAAGACAATGAGAGCGACGTAATTGGTGCAAAATGGTAAATGTCCTCGTGGCTCGTTGCGTTACAGCAAAAGTATTTCGCGGAATATTTCATACGGAAGTATATCGTTAGCTTCATCCCGAAACGCGATTGATTTGTAATAACTGTAATTCGTGCAAAAAAAACTGACAGTAAAATCATTGCGACTTTAATTTCTGCAATTCGGAAAGATTTTAAAGAGAATGAGGCCGGTTTCGGCGTCACGCTTCGATCGGCGGTGCACAACCGTATGTGCGTGCATGCGTGAGCAGCGCATACGTGAGATGGAAGATGCGTGATCGGTCCTTCATTATAGCCTTTAATGTACCCTCGCTCGCATTTTCTTTATTGTGCGCGTAATTCACGTGTGTGGGGCAGCCCGTGTCTAAAGCGCGCTGTGCTGATATGTGTGGCAGGGTCTGGGAACAGCCCTGCTGAAGACATTTCCGGTTTATCTGGCTTGTCCGGGCTAAGTGGATTCTCGGACGTCAAACCGCTGCTTTACTCGTATCAGCATCTACCTTACGCCGATCTCTTGCCAAGCCCGGACATAATCTCGACCTGGGCGTCGTCCCGGCCGATGGATCACTTGGCCTGCGACCTCATGAAGATCCTCTTTACACCGGAAGAGAGGATTCTCTGCAACGTCAATGGCAAGATGGGCAAGCAGCAGTTCGATAGCAACAAGATACACTTAATTCGGGAGGTCCTGTTGCACTTTAGCGGCATAGCGCCTAACAGCGTCGAGTGGGAGGAGGCTTGGAAGAATTGCGTAACAAAAATTGACACTAGTAATAGGGGCTTGAAAAGGTATTTGTTTCAGAGACGCTCGGTCTACACCCAATGACTAGGGCGTTTTAGGTCAGGGGTCAAACGGAAACGTTTCCACTGGCTGGAATAGGATCGTTCTTTTAAGCCCGTCACCCCGGTTCCCACACAAGCGTCGTAGGACGACTCGTTCCTCGCTTGTTCCTCTTTGGTATGAGCTTTCGCGCTTTATATTTAGGACATTGTATAAAAAAAAAAACAATTGATGTAAGTAGACAGTAAGATTCACGCGCGTAGCATGTAGCCAGGGGAAGAAGAGATGATCAGTCGGCGTGATTAAAATCGTGGAGTTAACGTGCAATAGGTTTGGAACGTGCGCTTTCCGATCCGCGGTTTCTAGGCTGTAGATTTCGAGGTGACAGGGTGACTAGGAAGAGCATTGTAGACGCGATCGAATTATTTATACGCTTCAGGTTCGCCGCTCGGCGTGATGAGTGGCGAACGATCGAATAATTCTAAGCCTTCCTCGTAGTTTCTTTCTAATTTCCACTTTTATTAAGGAAAATTCCGAGGTAATTCGTTTGATCTCTCTTCCCATCCTCTCTTCACACTCGCACCCCGCGTGTTTACAGAATCTCCCCCGCTTCTCTTTCACGACGCGTTCACGTGTAAAGTCGATCATTCATTCGCCTATGTACCTTTGTTTCACGTATAGCACCTTGAAATAACATTCCTTCTTACTCTTTAGTTACGGCTCATGCGAGAATTCGCTTTTACGGTAAAACGCGGTACGATATTATTAAAAAGTTGGCGTATGTCAGAGAGACACGCGAGCCTCTCTTTCTCTTTCGCACTCGAATATACACATCACGTACTCGCTCACACACATTATTAACACACGGACAAGATGCGCGTGTATATGTATATATATATATATATATGCGTTCGTTATGCGGAAATGTGCGGTATATACACGGGCGTGCGTATGCGGTACGCGTATCTAGTTAGAGGTATACGTATGATATATGTATGTACATATGTGTACGAGGATACGTTTCGGTCGTGTTGATCACATGCGTGCGTGAACGTGCTGCACGACCACGGCAGCTCTATGTACACTTAAAGAAGAAAAGGAAATCCGTAGTTCTTACGACAGGAATAGTGATTTAAGACACTTGCTTGTAGAGTATTTAAATCACAGCAGAGGGTCGCTCAGCATGCGCCACGAACTATTAGGGTATACGTTGCGAATCAACGTGCGATTTCTATCGCGCGTCCCATTCTCGAGACCCGCGCGAAAGTGTTCTTTGATCTCCGTTTACTTGTAAAGTCGTGTCGATTTTTTTTCTCTCGTTTGCGCGGTACGAGCGTTGATCATTGGAGCACACCGACAGCTTCGAAGCGATATTATTTAAATCAATATTATTGTAGACAAGACAAACGACTGGTCGCAAATAAACATATTTTACATTTTTAATTGTCTCTTTATTTCTGATATATTTATCGTATTTCTTTGCTCATTGCATATCTATATGTACAAAAATCTACGAACGTTGCTTTTTACATACAGTACTTACTTATAAAGTAACTTTTTGGATCTTTTTGCAAATAAACTTAAATATTTCCCATGTATTTTACATTATAAATATTATTTCACTATAAATAAAGTAGAATAACGTAATATAATTAATGCAAATAAATGGTATTATTCAAAGCGGGAAAAATAGATTATGCGTCATATAAATACTATTTCTCTATTTTTGTATTGTAAGTAGAAAAGCATGAAGTCAAGAAATTATCGAAGGAAGGGGGGGAAATTATACTATTATATCACTGATTATTGTGTCCAACTTTTAATTTACGCATCAAATTCCACTTATGAAGAAGCAATTCAACGGTACACTGGAATTCTTTACAGGATCGTCAAAGCCGATTGTGACAGTAATAGCCGAAGCTCGCCATACTTCTCCAGATCCCCAAACGCACAGGAGAGATTCCCTCGCAGTTGAACGGAGCTCCTTGTGGAATATCTCGAAAATATTGGAGGACTCATCATCTGACTTACCAAATTATTCTCGTGCCGAACAAATGTTAGAGCAACCGGAGTCCTCGAATTTCCTGAGGTACAATCCTGGAGTTTCGCAATCTAGTTTTCCCGCGTTTGTCGAGTCTTACAGTACAGATTTATCGGACGAGACTATAAAAGGTGGCCCAGCAGCATATCCACCGTTTCCTTGCCCTTTTTGCGACAGGGCATATACGAGTTGGGGCTTCCGCAGAAGGCACATAAAAGCTGTTCATACTATTTCATCGTCTCTTAATTGCAAATGGTGTTTACAAGTGAGTGCGTGAAGTTCTTTGATCTGTTTTGAGATAAAAAGCAAATGAATTAAATTATATGTTTGTTATTTAACAATTAAAGTACTTCAAATCGACCGTAACTGGCAATATATAACGTCTTTTTTGATATGACCGGTGGTCGAATTGGCACGACACCCGCACGGTATACGGGAGGTTCCAGATTCGAACCCTGGCTGGGGTAATATTTTTTCGCAGTAAAATAAAATTATTTAATTCAGAAATTACATCATCCGATCAAAAGCGTTGGTCGAAATTAATAATGTCTTGACGATTAATCCGAAAAAAGTGCTGTGTGAATCCGACAAAGCGAGTTGGCTCATGGTTTTTTCAATGGTCATATCGAAAAAGACGTTATATATTGCCAGTTACGGTCGATTTAAAGTACTTTAATTGTTATTCTATTCACTGGCGAAAGAAATTTAATATTCTGTTTGTTATTTAAATTTATATAACGGGTAATTATTTTATTTTTACAATCATTCTATACACGTAGGTTCTCCCTACACACGCAGCTTGGAGACGGCATGTGATATCAGCTCATAATCTATCAGCCAGTGACGCACACAATGGTCTTTTAATTTTGGAAGAAGCGCATATGGTCCTACAAATAGCGCGTCCTACCAGATTGGATACATTGGTTAACATAATTAAGCAAAGTTCGCAACAAAACTGTGGTCATGATGGCACTCAACCAGATAAAGATTAGGTAATAGTTATTAGTTACAGTTTTATATATCAAGGCTTATCTACACACCTAATCTTTTAATAAAATTTATATTGGTGATGACACTCTTGATGACACCGTTGTGTTCAAAACAAATGCAAATTATTTTTTTATATTTAAAAATTATATATAGTTAAATAAATATATGAAATAAATTTTAAATATATGAATATTATACATATTATAATATAAAAATATATATATATGTTAATTTTTGAGATTTTAATATATTTTATCTATGAATTATGAATAAGATGTAAATTATATTATTTATTATGTTTTTTATTGGGCTGTCAGTAACTTGTCTTCAGCAATTTCATCAAAAATAATAATTTGAATATTGTTTATAACATTGAATGTAAAAAAATATGGCGAAATAAGAGCCTTGGCACATAGAAAAACTTAAGCAGTAAAACGTTAGCGGTAAGAAAATCAACAGTTTGGATTTGCTACGTTATTGCTTTAAGTTCTTGACTGATTTGTTTATTGCTTAAGTTTTTTGTGTGCCATGGCTCTAATATAAATATGTTCATATATGAACTACTGTGATGGATAAATACACACGTTACCAAACATTTTTAAAGATTGTTTGAAAATGTTTAGTAACATAATGTCTGCTTTTTTTATTTTAGACGTTTTATATTTAAGAAATGCTATGTATGGCCAGTATGCATATCTACATATATTAAATTTAAATTTTACAATATAATGACTTATGAATAAAATATGGTTTCTCGTATTGTGTGTACTTTGTTATTTATTGAAAATTATAATTTATGATAACAATTATAATAATTTCAGAAATTTTACAAAGAGAATCAATGATATTTATATTGATTGAAGCAGATTTTTATGAATTAACTTGTACACACTTATTACTGTAATTTCTTAGCAATCAGACTATATATTTTATAATTAACTATATTGGACTTTTACTTGTATTATATTTAACAATAATGGACAAAGTAGAACATTTTTAGAATATTTGTTTTTTTCGTATTAATATAGAAAAATGATGTTGTCATTACTTTTTATAATTTGTTAAGTACTTATATATATATTTTTTATGAACACATGCGCATTAATCAGTACTATTATAAATGCATAATACGCTATTTATAATTTAAATTATTTATTTTGAGTTATATTGATATTGATTTATAGAAATGGTTATTGGTTATGATTTATATTAACAGAGAAATAATATTTAACTTTCTACAATAAATAAATCGCAAATACATATGTCCTTAATTCTTTTAGTTGTAATTATTGATTTGTTTAATCAACAATTTGTCACGACGTCAGTGATTTCATTGCGCTATTTGTTATAGATTTATGTTTTTATTAGACGCAATCTAAATATGAGAAATTGGTTGCATTACTTTTTTATCTCTACTAAATTTTAATTAGCGATCTTTCTTCTTTTCCAAATTATAGTCCTAGATATGATAAATACACGAAGAGAAATAATTTGCTTAAACATAAATGCAATTAATTGATTTTGATGCAACTAATCTCTGGTTGTGAGTTTTTAGAGGTCAGCCACGTAGCCTTTGACAACAATGCCCGGTGCTATCTCTGTAGTAACACTGTTTTTTGCGTCTTCTTTATTCAATGCTTCCGTATTCTCATTCGCGTATTCCTCTGACATGAGGATCATTTCGTTCGGACTCCACTCTGGCGAATCTTTACGACTATCGCTACTCTTGTAGACAGTATTTGATTCGTCTAAATCGTTATTGCGGTGATAAGATTTTGGTACTGATTCTGATGACGTGACGCTCTCGTATACGGGGTTACGTTTCATCGAAGCACGCTGATGAGGCGTTTTCCGCAGCATCGCCTAGAATAACAACCTGTTTTGAAAACTGCTTTTACAATATGTAAATTTCTCTGAAGTTTGTGATGTAATATTCTCATTTTTAAAACATGTTTGGAAAAATATATATACACGTATATAACCGTGATTAAAAGAATAAAACAAACTGAGATATTACTTGAAAGTTGAATGGTGGTGCATCGTCATTTTCATCATTGTTGTTCCTGCGTCCGATCATTTCCAATTCTTTGATAGCATTTACACTGTAATGGAAAAAAATTATGTTATGAAGAGAGAATTTATTAATATTGCTAGAAATTTCCATATTAACGATGAATGTACCGAATATCACTGTTAATATTGCGATTATTTCTGTTCTCAAACTCCCATTCTGTACTATTTTTGTTTTGAATGTTTGATTCATAATTGTTGAAATTGCGCATTGCTGAGGGTTGCGTTCGATTGACTGGTACTGGTGGCGATGATACTTTCTTCCTAGTGTATCCGGCGTCGATGTTGTTCTATATATAAATTATAAGTCTTTATATATGTGTAGAGTAATTAAAATTGGAAAATTATTGTAATTATGTACTGTAAGATAACATCTCAGTATTTTCTAAAGCATCGCTTATTATCTTGAAGAAAAATATCGTAGGTACTATAAACTTTGATTTATAAACAAGCTGTAATTGCAAATTGAAAAATTATCTTAAATTGCACATTAGATATCTAAACAAGTAAAATTTCATCTTTCAATTAATTTTACGTGGAATTTGCTTTACAGAAAAAATTTTTATTTATTTAACGTTGGAGATTTTCGAATTAAAACGAAACTTGAAATAATAAAGGAAATTTCAAGGAAGAGAAATCGATATCTCTAAGGAAATACTTTTAATGGAAGTAATTTTTAGGCGTTCAAGGTATATACATATATGTTATGTGGTCGTGTAATAACTCACATTTTGTTGCAATTTTGCGCAGTAAGGAGTATAAGATTCGGAAGAGTGTGTGGAGTTACGTTTATTCGCAGATTGAAAGCCAGAAATGTTACGGCGGGGTGGCTCCTTCGGTGGACACTGAATCGGAACATTCGGATCCCTGGTGAATAGAGTGTTGATTAAACTTTGCTCACCGCTGATCGACGAACGATGAAGAGGTACGCGATGTGGCGAGTTTGTTGTTTGTACCTCGATATCTAAAAAAATGTATCATGTTAGAAAAGAGAAGATGATATAATCTCACAAATAATATATGATAAGCTAATATATGACAAAACAAATTTATAAAATTTATTAATTTAGGTGTTTAGAACTCTTCAGAATTTCTTTGTAGCGAATTTAGATACCTCTGGTGTGAACATTTTTGTTAGCCCAGGGTACGGTTTGTCTACGTAACGGTGCATCCCAGGACTCGTGCTCGTCGTCGCTTAATGTGGATGATATAGACCTGCGAAAATGTCTTTTTCAGTTTATCTCAGTTAAATTGTCGAATTGCTTTCAAAATTCCTACTTTTTTAATAGCAACCACGCGATATGAAGAATGTATGTATGCACAAGGTCGAAGACCAGCATGTGAAAAAAGAAGACAAATAGTACTGCACAGAATATCCAGAAATGTACATACATAAAGCACCAACAATCTTAATTATGAAAATTACTATATTTAATAACAATTTCTGTAAGAGTGAATTAAGTCATTTTCTGCATATTTTTCCAAGTTTCGTCAAATGACTCTCCTGTAATATTTTCTTTTCGTTGATTTCGTATTCTTGAAAATCGACTATATTATATCTTACGCAGAATTGATTTAATTCTATTTATTCTTATAATTTTCATTAATTTTATTTCTATTGTTTTACCTTTATTATATATTATAGTATTTGCGTCTGCACATTTGCAAGTTAAGTTAAAGGATATATCCACAGGAAAACAATTTTTTATTTACATAATTACATATAATATGTCCGTATATATAAAACAATATAAATATATATATATATATATATATATATATATATATATATATATATGTTTTCTTTCTTTTGTATAATGTCTGTTTGTAATGAGAAAAATAATAAGAACAATAATTTAAAAATAATGAAAAAAAAAACATTTATCTTGTTTTTTACAGAAAATAAATTGCGATTAAGTTATACAATATTCTATATAATCATATTTTTTATATATTTTATATTTTTTTTACCATTATTATATTTATATATGACTATACATAAGCAATTTTTTCTTATTTCTCATCATTATTTTTTGCAAAAAAAAATAATGCAAAAATTATCTTCGATTATCTTTTAATTCTTTTTTTTAATTATTTTTCTTGCATAGATGAACAGAGATTGTACAAAAGAAAGCAAAATATATATGTATATATAGGTATATATATATATATATATATTTTTTATAATAAGTTAGATATAAATATCTATATAAAAAATTTTTTCTCAAGATAGCAAAAAGTTAAAATAGTTTAAATGTTACGCGCGTCTTGTAATCAGCATATGCGTACAGGTCAAACGCGCATCCGCCATATTGGCGACAAGTTCGCGCCGCGTCGCGTTGTAAGAGGTCGAACTCCGGTATACCGTCTCACGTTTTTCATGTCTGTTACTCGTTAAAAGTGTCAGTTGCTCGCGAAGAACTGCAGGATATATCGGACAAGTATTGGATAATTATACTAATTCACGTGAACGCACTGCTGTTTCTGTGGTTCGCGATATTCGATTTCGCTCTGGAGTTGCGAAGGTTACGACGTTTTGTGGTCGGCACATATGCGCACAGGTCGAACGCGCAATGACGCGCATCCGCGTAGGCTGGCAGCGTCTTTCCTGCTTTTTACGACATTCGACTTTTCTTTGGTGTTGCAGCATCGAGAGACGGAACGGGGTAACGGCGGGATAACAGTTGGTAAGTAAATTTCGTCACTTTGCTTGTATGTCTAACCGATTTTACAAATTTTTATTGCGTATATTCATTAAAGACTTTATGACTTTTAAAGCGCAATTTTTTCGGGTTTGAAATGATTTTACCATAAAATAAAAATTTCCTCCGGATACATTAAACAATATCTCGTTTTTTTTTAAATTACTTTACATGTAATCTTAAATGTTAAAATTTTTAAGCATTCAATAGGATTATTGTATTAAAAAATTATTGCAAATTATATCTTATCTTAATATGAAGGTTATGTCTTAATTGATTATTATTATTATCTCTCTTTCAAATATCTATTCATGTTCAGTGAATTAGTCACTGATTCACAGTATTATTCACTGATTCAGATTTAGAGAGTATATGGTAAACTTATGTTATAGTTATCAACATTTTATGCGTATCTCTGGTACATTTTTCTCATTTAGGTTCTTGTTACGGGCTGTTTAAAAGATGTTTTAAGTAACTTACCCTGCACGTTTAATGTTTACGTTTGAAGGATCATTCATGTAATTCGTGTCGAAATACGGGAGCTCTTGTTGCATATTGAAAGGAAGTTTGTAGACTTGAGGTGGTTTTACCTCATTTACGTAGGCATCTATTTTGGCACTTGGATCGATCTTTTCAAGGGATACAACATGTTCATTCATTTTTTCCAAGGCTGCCACTATCGATTGATTGTACAGATGAACCTGTTACACAAATACTTGATAATTTATTTATACTCTTGGGTGTAAGGTTTTAATAAAAATTCGTATATTGCTTTATTTTATAATTAAAGAAAAAAATCAAGAAACTTGGTATAATAAAATGTAAATTGGTAAATATTGTTAATCATTAATTTATATTTTAATTTGTTTTTAAAAAATTTTTTGAAAAAAATGCTTGAAATTCTTGATAACATATTTGTTTTGTATTTAGAAGAAATAACAGACTGAAAGAAATTAATCTATGAATTTTATTTGAAAAAGAGATAATACCTGTTGCGATAATTGCACAAAATCTTGATATCGGGCTGCACGGTACCGTAGGAGGACTTGGAACACGCTTTTCGATCTCCATTTGCTGCAATAGAATTTGATGAAATCTTTCGTCTCTTGACTCATTTCTTCCTTGAGTAAAGGCCCCATTTCTTTTCTTACAATATGTCCTCTGTATGCTGAACAAGTATAATAATGAAGTATAAGCAACTGATTTATATAAATGATTATAAAATAAATATATTACATAAATATTTATAAATTTTTTGCGACGGGTTGTTAAACGTTTAATATACAAATTATAATTTATACCTATACATTGGCCGTTTAAATAACACACATTTAAGCTCTTATAAAATTTTTTCAGGTTGCATCATAAATCCTGCTATATCTTGCACATTTTAAATTTACAAAAAAATAAAAACATTTTTTTAATTATTACATATAAGATTCTAAAAGAAGATAATTTCGTAATTGTAAAAATATATAATTAAAATATGAGCGCCAGGATTTGTTCATTTGGGAACATATTGTCGTGAAAAATATGTAAAGTATACGTGAATCACATTTTACATAATCTTGATCCTTGGATCAATGTTATTTTCTATATATTTCAATACCTACTTTTCTGTATCATCAATGCCGCTTTTTCTTCAGTAAGTGAGTTATTTCTCTTGATTGACGCTTTCTTTACTAAAACAATGCACGTTATCGATTGAAACATTAAAAAATTTATAAAGGTATATATATAATATATATGGGGCATTCCATGCCAACTCAACCAATGATTGTCCCCAACCATTTTTGATTTGGCCGAAATTTTTTTGTGTTTTTGTACTGAATAAAAGTAGCTTCTATGATTTTTCTAGATTTTTATCTCTATTCATACTTAAGTTATGGATTTAAAAAAAATATGCAGTTTAAAATTTGGAAAATTTCAAATGCCTGTAACTTTAAGAAGAAAAAGATTTTGTAAAAAATAAGGTGGTCTTTCTTTTCTTTTTTCACTGTACTTTTCGAAGAAAATATCGAAAAAATGTTTAATGGGCAATATGAGTGCATGTTTTTTTTAGGATTTAAGTAAAAAAATGTTTGTTTTTCTCAGTGCGACGATTTTGATTTTTTTCAAAAAAATCTTAAATTCTAGACTTAATTTCGAAATTTTTAAGACGTATAAGAAAATGGGATTCCAATAACTTTGATTTTTTAAGGGACTTTTTCTTTATTTTTTTTCCAAAAATAATTTTTTTAAAATAAGATAGACTCTACCAATGGCTATCAAAAAATTTGATAAATTTATAGACAGCAATCCTGAAATTTCGATCTATAGGTAAAGAGAAAATTCGAATATTTTCTATTTTTTAATTGCATTTTTACTTATTTTTATTATTAAATTTTAATGGGATATTATAAATTGGTAAACTTTAACGGTTAGCATGTAACAATTAAATCATATAGTTAATGAAAAAAACACGTATATTATCTGTGAAAATAGCAATCAGATTTATTTAAAAATAAAATAAATAAATAAAAATCAAAATTAAAGAAACATAAAATAAATAATAAATATATCAAAAAATTATGCCATATTATATAACAACGTTTATACTATTTATTTATTTTTATTTTTTAAAATTATTTTATGTGATTTTACATCATTACATCAAGAGAATATTTTTACATTTAAATTTCCATTGTTATTAGGTAAAACGCAATGAATTTTTTATGTGTCCGGTATAGATTTAACACGACTTGAAAAATGAAGAATTACTGAAACGTTATATAATATGGCATAATTTTTTGATATATTTATCATTTATTTTATGTTTATCTTTAATTTTGATTTTTATTTATTTATTTTATTTTTAAATAAATCTGATTGCTATTTTCACAGATAATATACGTGTTTTTTTTATTAACTATATGATTTAATTGTTATATGCTAACCGTTAAAGTTCCCCAATTTATAATATCCCATTAAAAAAAGTAATTTAATAATAAAAATAAGTAAAAATGCAATTAAAAAATAGAAAATATTCGAATTTTCTTTTTACCTATAGGTCGAAATTTCAGGATTGCTGTCTATAAATTTATCAAATTTTTTGATAGCCATCAGTAGAGTCTATCTTATTTAAAAAAAATTATTTAAAAAAAAAAATAAAAAAAGTCCCTAAAAAAATTAAAGTTATTAGAATGCCATTTTCTTATACGTCTTAAAAATTTTGAAATTAAGTCTAGAATTTGTGAGATTTTTTTGAAAAAAATCAAAACGGTCGCACTGAGAAAAACAAACATTTTTTACCCATTTATTGCCAATTAAACATTTTTTCAATATTTTCTTCGAGAAGTACAGTGAAAAACGAAAAGAAAGACCACCTTATTTTTTACAATATCTTTTTTCTTCTTAAAGTTACAGGCATTTGAAATTTTCCAAATTTTAAACTGCATTTTTTTTTTAAATCCGTAACTTAAGTTTGAGTAAAGATAAAAATCTAAAAAAAATCATGGAAGCTACTTTCATTCAGTACAAAAACACAATAAAATTTCGGCCAAATAAAAAATGGTCGAGGACAATCATTGGTTGAGTTGGCATGAAATGCTTCATATATATTTATTTATTTATATATGTGTAATATACATTTATTAAACTATAAATAGTTGACAAATCGCGATTTATTCGATCGGAAACTTACTTACCAATTTCTTTCTTGATATTACACATTTTCGAGGCAATATTTTTACGCGCTAGAAAGGCACGCAACATGCATTGAACCTTTATGATTTTTTTTACTTGAGTTTCATATAAGCGCGATAAATATTCCTCATTGTAGTACTTTAAGAAAACCTTGGTCTTGCCGATAATCCAGCCTTCCATTTTTAATCTGATCAAAAGTAATCTGCAGTTATCTTTCGTCATCTCTACCGTTTCGTCAAAGTCGAAGGCTAGAAACTTGTATCTGTAATTAAAAACAGCGGTCTTTGCATTTCATAAAACGAAAACGTACATACATGTAATAGAAAAGTATTAATTGTTGCTGGTTGTGTATCATATTATTTCAACGAGTTCTTATTCATTTAGCTTATTATATTCAAGTCAATAAACACATTATTTCTCTGCAGCTTACTGTATTTAATCGAAAATATTATTTTTATAAGACAATTGAATTACCTTCGAAGAAATTCTTGGAACGGTACTCTGTATGGATACCCGCGTCGTCTGGCTTTCGCGGTATCAAGAACTGCTAACGCCCTGATTTGTTGTTTGACGATTTCGCGGTAAAAGCTGCGAGGAGCATCCTCGAGATCGGAGCGTATGCATCTGACAAAATGTGTGCCGCCCACGCCTATCGCGAGATTTTTCAAAATTTCGAGACTCGTCGCTCTGAACGTTGACGAGCATGTTCGCATCTTGCGCGACTGTGAGTACTGTCCTCTGGACGCAGTGTTATATTTCTGTTGAATTTAAAAAGAAAGGTTTCGTTATGCTGTAAACTAAAGGATTACTTTTCGTGGAAAGTGTTTTGTCTTCAAGTGCTTTTAACGTTAAAATTAACGTTTAAAATAAAGAATGCTTCGAATTATTTGGAAATCGAATTGATCAAATAATATCTGTCATTAAAATTAAAAGATAGGGATATTAAATATATATCTTGAGATATAACAAGAGATATGTCTATTTGCAATCATTTCACTTACTCGTAACATAGAAGACTCTTGCATAAGAGCACTCCATTTCTTTTTCGACGTCTTCTTCGCCGCGAGACAATGTTCGTGAACGATCGTCAGGTTTCCCGACTTGGTTAGCTTGTTAGTGAACATCTGCTTGACTGCATCGTGCGAAGAGAATCTCATCGTGCCGATCATCTCCGGCGGTATGAAGTCTCGATTTTTCGTGGCAATTTCGCTGGCGTCGTATATCAGCTTACCGGTGTAATGTGTGACCGTGAACTCGTGCGAACTCACCGGTTTCACGTGGATGCCACGTTTATGTTCTTTAATCCTCTCGAGAATATACTGAGCGTCTTGCATTTGCCGTGAAGCGTCATCGATAATGTGAAAGAGGCCAGCTTCTTTGCTCATTAGTTGATCAACCGCTTCCTTATTATCGTAAAAGCGTAATCGTTGCATGGGTATATCCTCCTCTTCTTGTTCTTGCTGAAATCGTAAAAGAGAGTACTCAATACTTCTAAATTCTTTTATTTAGTATGTAATTGTTAATAAATTTTTTTAGCTTATTGCTGATATGATTTACAGCTATGCAGAAAGTTTTTATGATTGTAACTTAATTAATTCTAAAAGACGCGAGTGGATTTTAATGTAATAGCATATATTCAACAGACAGAGACTAAAACAAAATCTTATAAATTTGTTATGAGCTCATATGTTTTAACATATTATTTATTAGAAATTTACCATTTCCCAAGCGAATACTCTTTGATTATAATAATATTGCATTTGTTCGTTTAACGTATTCACCAATAGTTGTTCCAGCCGATTTACTGAGAAACATTCGAGTCCAAAGTGATCAAGGATGCTGATGGAATATTTATCGCCACTGAAGAATAAAAATAGAAATTAAAAAATTATCGATACAAAATCTTTATTAATATTTTTATTCTTGTGGTCTGCATTTCCATGAAATCTTCGCGTAACTTACTAAAGGCTACGAGTCATTGAAAGTTTATAGTTAATGATGTTGATTATCCAATCTACTAAACGCTGATAAAGAGTGTTTGCTAAGACATCTCGTGCCTCTTTCGCTTCTTCGCAAGTGTGCTTCCTACGTATCGCTGATCCCTTCACGATCAAGCAGTAATTAACGAGAGCCCAAATAAATTTCTTCGAGTCCAAGCCAAGAAGTTCTGCCACTGCGATTCGAAACAGCTGATTAGTTTTTACATCTCATGAACAAGTAAATATTTTAACGGGATTTAATATACTAAAATAAACCTCTCGCATTGACGAATTAAAGTTTTCGAATTCAAGTTTTTACCTCTGTTAGCAATTTCGCTGTTGTCCAACTCAGCCTCTCCGTTATTGCCTTCAACGAATCGAATCTCTCCGAGCATCAGAATGGCTGCGAGAATTTTCCAAATAGTCTCGCAATGCTCTTCCATATCCATAAACTTAAAACAATCCCTAAGTTCCTCGAGTCTAACCGCGTTGTTTTGCGGATCATTTCTCACTTTGAACGCTCGTTTTTTTTCGGTGCTTTTATCGGTTATTCTGAGGTATCGAAGTTTTCTACCACTTGGTAAGAAATACGTTTTCAAATTTTCTGATGCCTCGAGACCGTCGTAAAAGTAGTAAAAAATATGAAAGTTTGATTGATTTCTGAAAAAATACTTTTTTGTTATGAAATGCTTTTTTTTTTAGCACATACTTTTGCGAATGATTATTTTCTATTTCTCGTTTTATCATTTTTAATATTAATTAGATTATTATTACAGTTAATTAGAGAAGATGTCATTTTCGGTCGGACTGGATCTTGCTAGTCTAATAATAATATTTCTGTGAATTTTGTTTTAATTCGATTATATTCTAATTTATTTTATTATTTTTATTATTTATTTTTATAATTCATATAATTTTATTATTTTATTACATTATTTCTGTATTTTCTCGAATTATGTAAAAAAATTATAAGAAGTATTGCTTATTTCGGTCATATATGCCTGTATAATAGTAACCCGTTATACATGGGAATATAGAATGCAATATATATTCTTTGGTGCTTCATACTTCAATTTGTGCTATACTTTGCAAAACTGAAAATCTCTAAAAGATTAGAGATCTTCAGCTAAAAGACTCAAAGTCCGCGTAGCATATTATGTTGAAAAAAAAATAATTTCTTTCAAGGTAAGTAAATTATACCTGTCGCGAGTCGAAACGCGCCATTTTTCCAACTGATACAGCCACAATATTGCCCCCGATGCTTTGCCGGTTGACCCGAAAGTCGTCTGTATTTGCAATATGCATCTGGTTGAATTAGCATTCAGCGGTGTCGCCGCGTTTGCAAAAGCATGAATAATTTTTATAGCTCGCAGCACTCTCGCTCCGGTATCGTGCAGACCCTGAAAGTAAAAAGATGTAAATAACTTTCCTTGTAATTTCGTTTATATATCGTTAATACGGTCGCATCGAGCTCACTTTTCCGAGGAACATAAGATGCTCCACTAGATGCAGCATATTCGTCGTTTTCCCGGAGTTACTTTCACCGGCTAGCAAAATGTGCTGAGCTTCTTCGTTAAGCATGACATCTTGAAACGCGCTATCCGCTACGGAATAGATATGGGGAGCATTATCCGATCGTGATTTGCATTGATATTTTGCGTGATGCTGCAAATAAAATTATTCATGTTTTTGTTATACAATTTATAATGGTATATGTAGTTTGCAATCTTATTATTGAACACACATGATTGACAAGTTTCCGTTCTTTTATTATAAAATAGCACTATTTGATGTGCACGTGAAATTACAAATAAAATCTGAAGATAAATCAAAAAGTATATAGGTGTAATTTCTGCAAACTGATTATAGATACAAAAATATTGCATTGACATTTTGCGTGATACTGCAAATAAAATTATTCATGTTTATGTTATACAATTTATAATGATGTATGTATAGTTTGCAATCTTATTATTGAACACACATGATTGACAAGTTTCTGCTTTTTTATCATGAAACAGCAATATTTAATATGCACGTGAAATTATACATAAAATCTGAAGATAAATTAAAAAATACAACTGCATTTGTTATTTCTTGCTAATTGATTACAGACACAAAAATATTGCTTGTAAATTTTAATGTAATAATTATTCTTGTTTTTTCAACATTTTTTTATTACATTAATATTTTTTCTATCTGTTATTCTTTAATGATGAAAGTTTTAATATTGGTTTCGAGAAAGAGATAAGCGCAACGATGTCATTTTGTTAACGATTAAACTTTGTCAGAAAATCGATGTTCTAACATCAGACTTACGTGAACACCGTAAATATCGTGCTCCTCGTTCGGGTTGAGTATCAATAAAATGTCGCCGATAAACGTGTGATATTCACCTCGCCGCAGTTTCTCGCGAAGTTCGTCCAAGATGATGTCTTCAGTCAGGATATCCAGTGCCGCTAAGTCCTCCATGAACATTTGTTCCGGTGGCTCATCCTGATGAATCTATCCAGCCAATTAAGATTTTCTTTTAACACATATAAGTCCATCATTTGCAGTTCAGCTTGTGTTTTTTTGCGCGAGTCGTTACCTTCAAGAAACCTTTACGAACTATCGATTCCGCTTTTCTTTGTTGTCTGCCCTTCTCCGAGAGATCCATTGACAGCGCTTTGATCTCTTGCGTCAGCTAAAAAATCATGTTGTGTATATTTAATCTTTTGATTTTCACAACAATTTACATCAGTTGATTATTACATCGAATATTTGCAGACTCTAAAAGAGAAAAGACAGATCGAAACTATATGTGCCTTATTTATAAGATGTTATGAAAAGTTATGGAAAGTTTAAAATAAAAAAATATTTTATTAAAGATGTTAATTACTCTTAATGAAAAATAAATTTTATTATTGCAATTTCTATTATCTTTAATAATTAATCAATCGAGTTTTAAAACATAAAAAACCGAATTTATGCATTTAGGAATTTTGATGGCTTATATTGACAACTTTATAATCATGCGCTGTACCTATAATCTGCCTTTTCTAATTCATAGTCTACGTTGCATTGAAATCGTATATTACAGGATAATCGTTTTCGGGTAGCTCCGACAGAAAGGGATGCTCGATGATCTCCATCATGTACGGCCTGTTCTCGGGATTCTTTTCGAGGCATCTGAAACGGACGTGTAAGCTCTCACGTTATTTCGTTCGCGAGTTCGCGACGTTCGTTTGTAATAAAGAGATTTTCATATTCTATCCGGTCACGTACTCCGAAATGAAGTCATTGAAATTCTTCGACCAGTTGGCGGGTCGGTAGAGAGTCGGCGGTGGATTCCGGACGATCTGGAAGAGCGCGCGAGTCGGATGCATGTCCTCGAACGGTGCTTTGCCGTCGGCCAGTTCTATCGCCGTGATGCCGATCGCCCATACGTCGACTCGGCTGCCGTATCCGCTGTCGGCTCCGCTGTCTTTCCCACCAATCATTTCTGGCGCCATCCAGGACGGTGAGCCTATGTAGGTGCGCCTTTTTTCGAGTTCGCTTTTCATCGTTCTCGAGAGCCCAAAATCCACTAATTTCACTTCGCCTTCCTTCGTCAGAACGATATTGCTGCCACGGACATCTCTGTGGATCACGTTGTGCTCGTGCAAGTGGATCAAAGCCTGAGAAAGAAAACACAATGTGTAATATCTGGTTTTAGTATTGTCGTTGCGTACAAGATCTATTTTATGAAGTTGAGAAATTATTATTAATAAGATTTAGAAGCACATAGACGAAAGATTGTTAGAACAGTTAAATTATATTCTCAGGGGGAAAACTTGTTATACGTGTTATTAATTTAGCAATAGAGAGAATATTTGGTGGTGCTAAAGATTTTTTTTTTAATTGAAAACTGCAAAGTGCTATAAATATTATATAGCACTTCGTGCAATGTTCTGAGATCGCAGACTCGAATTTAAGAACAACACGAACGTAGTATCTTCAAGATACGGCGATGCAGAAGAGAAGTTGGCAACTCGGCACCTTCAGCGTCTTGCGAGAATCATCTTTATAGATTTACTGCAAATTGAACAATCTATAATTTGTGGCCGGCCGTGCTCACAGCGCGTAACAAGCGCGGGTCAGTGAGCAGTTCCGACGTGGCATGGGCACGAAATCATTAATACCTGGTTCATCAGCAAGTCGCTTCAAAGCCACACTCTGAAGCTAAAGCTAAGCTACCTTGCGAAGTGGCTCATTATAAACGCGGAATTTTTCATTTATTTCCCGCGGATCTACAATTTATTTTTAATTTATTTTTACGTATATTTGATAATTTTTTTATTAATTAGTTTTAATTAATCAAAGAATACAATTATTTTTGTCTCTGATGTAAATTTCCATTTGAGTTCTTCGTATATCAGGCTTATTGATGTCAATATCAGACAATAATGATAAATTTGAATTATTTATATTAATGTTTTTTAAATAAATTTATGTAACAAATTATTACTTGTATGAAATTTATATTTCACTGGATAGTGCATTCGACGATGTTTCGACAAATAAGACAGAAAAATAGGAAATACCGCTAATGAATGTTCGTTGACCGGGCAGTACATAAGAAATAGTTACAAGGGTAAGGAGGGAACTTTCAAAGGACGAACGAATTGTTAATTGGCGGATAAAGATTAAACGGGATATAACGATCGTGCAGAAGAAGCATACTGGTAGTCTCCATTCGTCTCTCGTTCTTTATCCATTTCCCGTGCTCTCTTTGTGTTTCTGTTTCGAGCACTGTGCGCGCTTGCTGCGCACTTCTCTTCGCGGGCATTTATTTTGCGTGTAATTTGCCGGCATTAAACGTCAGCGTGGTCTGATTTACCGCACGAGTGACCGTGGACGAATCGCTACCGGGCCCATGGAACACGTATCTGCGAGGAAAGAGCATAGAGGAGAGAACAGGAGGAGGAAAAAGAAAGAGAGAGACGGGAGGGTTGCGTGCAGTTTCCAAGGTGGAAAAGGAACGGCGTCGGGGCAATCGGGGAGGTGAGGAGAAAGGGCGGGGAGCGCTGGAGCCCAGTGGCGAAGGGCATCGGATTGTGCGTGCACGGGGCATACCCGAAAGGTAGACCCACATAATGATTTAGTGACAAACTGCTTGGATCGTAAATATTACCGCCGTGAGCCATGAGCCACTCGCGAGAGAAAGAATACTGGGCCCATTACACGTTGTGCCCTTTCGCCGCGCTTCCTCGGTGAACTTATGGGGGAAGAAGTGGTTTTCGAGAGAAATATCTTTTTCTCATTTGATGAGAAAACCTTCGTCAATCAATGATACTGCATGACATTTTCGATCGTTATAATTATTATTATAAACTTTAGAATCAGAAAAATTTTTACACATATTTACGTATACCCATGCACAATTACATATGCCTTCTGTGTTATCATTTATTTTATTATTTATCAAATATAAACCCATTACCTTTTCTTTACAATTTTATTTTGTTAATATCAAAAATAATATTTCTTTCCTTTTTTATCCCATGATATCCTTTCAAGATTTAATAATTAACTACGCTGCACTTCTTCCTGTTAAATATATAAAACTATATTAATATCTATATCTAGAACGTGTTACAAAAGTGTCAATTAACTGGAAATCAACGGTTGTCGATTTATTTTAGCTTACCTGCATACAAGGGAATAATCAATTTGAATTTAATGCGTTTGTCATTAATGTATGAAAATTGTTTAATGTAAACGGGAATATATGTATATGTTTTCTACGCTGAAGAGAGTGCAGACGATGCTGTAATGTAGTCTTGTTATTCCTGTACTACTACTCGTTTATCTTGTACCGGTGTACGGACTACGGAATAAACGACAGTAATGATATGTTTTAAGCGCCGTGACACTTATGCTGTATTAGTTATGACACTGTGCTGTATTGGTCTATAGTTACGATGTTGTAGTTGAATAATCATAATATATTATGGAACAGAGGTACAGTCAATAGATAAATCTGTGTGGATAGATAGAAATTATCATATTATATTAACAAACAAAAACAAATCAGTTTTTTGTATTTAACTACATAAAAATCTTCGTTTCTAATTACTTCTTCGTTATTATCTGAAGCTTTATTTTTAAATAAAATTTCTCTTCTGGTGATTTTTTACAATATCGAAATAATAAAATAAAAGACATATCAAAAAACTGTATTATTCTGTTGATCAAATAAAATATTATTTATATCATAGTAATAAATAATATCGTTTGCTGATTAGTTTAATTATTTTGTTCTTCCAAGCATTTGAAACACCTGACGTCTTTATTACAGCTAATTTTATTCTGCGCGCGCATAAATGATAAATAAAGAAATAAATAGTCAAATGCAGAGACGTAATGAGCAAGGAAAAATCAGTGACACACGAACAAAACGGAAATGGTCACTTAAGTTTCATCCTGTGGCGTGCATCGGTCATTCGCTTTTTTCGATTCTCGTCTTTATTTTCCCGTCTATATATACATGTGGCTTCTTAAGTTCGTTGAGAAATGAGCACGATATCCTCACCAATTATCCGACCTCCTAGGAGAAACCGGAATCATGGAAGGTAGTATCATTGTAAATAAGCGAATCCGTTTTCCGTGACCATTAACTATATTAAGCAAAATCATAGCAATTTATGAAACCGAAGGGTGTTTAGCTCTTCGTATCCCATTCCTCCTTCACCTTTTTCCCCGTTTTCTTCCTCTTTGTCTCCTCTGCTTTTGTTTTTCTTTATTCGGGTGTTGTTTGAATCTCAGTTTGTGCTTTATTTACGTCATTTCGACTGGGTTCGTCATCCACCACATCAGTTTTTGCTTGTTTTTTTCTCGAAACTTATGGAAAAATTAACGGCACGTACGGCTTACGTTTTATGATTGTCGTAAACCAGGGTAATTTTCAATTAATGCGGCGGTTTAAATTTATTGCGATGTTAACTATATTACTCATTAATATTAATAATGATCAAAACAAAAATAAATATTTGTACGCTGGTTATGAATTACGCGAATTCATTAGGTTATTGCCTTGTTATTGTAAATGAGATAATTAATTTACTTACTTACTTTTTATTAAGTTAATTACTAATTTATTTACATAGACAGTACAAAGATATATTTTTTCTTTTTCCTTCAGAATTCATTATTATATAAGACTGAAATAATTAGTTCGATATTTTCAACAAAATGCATATATATACCCCCCTATATGTGTTATAACATTTTGATAAAAATATTGAATTAATTATTTCATTTTTATAGTAAAATACATATGAATTAATTCTGAAAGAAAAATTAAATAAATCTTTTTACTGTTTATATCAAGAAAATTTGTATACAACAATGGAATTAAAATATTTTGTCAAATTCATATAGTTTACAATATTTTTATATGTGTGTATAATGGCGTGTCATTATTCTATAATTATTCGCGTATAATCGTTGTGTAAATTTTTATTTCTGTAAATAGTTCTGCAACATCCCCCCTTTAGAATTTCAGTCATTTATCGCATAGTTATCCTAATTATGAGTCGTATTTTTGTAAAGTCGCGAAATACCCCGCTTTTTCTGTGTCTTGTAATTGCACAGCGCGAACATACTTCGGCGCCAATGCGTTTTCTGTAATCAGAGAGGTAACCTGCCGCAAGATAAAAGCATCGTCGGGACATACCATCGAACATAATTATATCGTAATAACGCGACTATTGCCGTGGCTATAGATCTACCTACTATTATCATTTCTGTCGGTTCACCAGTGCGCGCTCTGTCATGCAAGTAATATTTATTACGCTCTCTGTATCAAGAAAGGGAGGAAGGAAACAGAATGACGAGGGATAGCGAGGGGTACGGTGAGGGGTAGATTGCGGCACAATTTTGCTGGACATTCCGCGACGGCCACCTTTCTCAGCTACCGACTCATATACCTTCTCGTACCCGAGCAAAAACTAATTACCTTGCTCGGGCTTACCTCTTTTCGGTTAGTCAGATATATTCGCGTTATAACATCAATGATTTATTATTAATCTTATGTCTTATGCAAAACGTGCCACTTACCTAGGATCTTTCGATCATTTATCTTCGTTAATTAATTTGGTTCCTGTTGTATTATGTTTTTCTAAAGGATATTTCGGCGACTATCTACAGTGTTACTTTAATTTATATAATGTCGTTTTAGCTATACTGCCTACGAGTGAGTCTTTTACGTACAAGACATGGCAAAATAATAATGTAAATAATACAAATTGAGAAAAATTGCATCATAAGAAAATATTGCGGAATATACCATTCAACAATATGATGTATATCTCGTGTAAAAAAGTATATATATCATAATATATATATATTACGTAACAGGAAACTTACCCTGATCACTTCCCTTAAGATGAAGGCAATATGTTCTTCTCGTATTCTTTTGTCACTTGCGATCATCCCACGAACGAGATCCATGACTGTTCCACCTTCGCAGAGCTATAACATATAAATAATGCCATGTTGTTAGTTATAATTATAATCATACCTTTGAGCTAAAAATAACCTAAGTTATTATAGATGAAAAGAGTTAGCAGCAAAATTGTGCTCATTTATTGAATTTGAGCTTAAACTCGTCATAAATGTTATGAGCGATTCACCGCTTATAAGATAACTGTTGTGTAACAATTGTTAACTTTTTTTTACTTATGATGTAATTGTGTAACATGAGATTGATGTGTTAATTGAAATGCCATTCTAATTGCGGAAGTAATTTGAGTCGGTGGACGGGGGTTTAGAATTAAGTTTTATGTGTGTGTGTTTGTCTTCCACAAGCCTTGGGGTAAAATATCTGTACGAAAACTTCCACTCTGGTAATTTCTGAATGATTCTTTATTTAATTATAGATTTTACGAAAGTTAATTCAGGCAGAAAAAGACTCTCGTAATCCATTTCTCTAGAAATTAAGCATCTGAAGAACTTATAATCAAAAAGTGTAATAAACTTCGCGCATATGTCTACAATTACACGAAGCGTGCGGTAATTATGAGTAAACGTGATCCAACGCTTCATATATTACATTACCCTATATAGACTGTCTCATGTGAATCACGGATTGTAACAGATTCAACTCTTCTCTTTCACACAGATTTAATACAGATTTTTCCAAGCCTCATGCTTTCTTCGTTAAATTAAAAGTTTGATTGTTTTCATAGGATTATATTTTTATAAAATGTTCGCTTGAACATTATATGTTATTTAATTGCGATTTAACTTTAGCAAAACTGAACGGTTCTGCGTTCAGTTTTGCTAAAAATTAAATTGCAATTAAATAACATCTTATTCATATGTGACGATGAAGAACCTCTTTCTCGAATTTTTCCAGCAGAAGTATAGAGTCACGCAAGGTTTTATCGGGGCCTTACATTCGCGCCAATAAAACTCGCTCGATATGAAATATCACCGGCGATAAATCCTTGCCACATTGTCGTTGCATGTCTCTTTCTCTTTCTCTCTCTTTTCCTCTTTGAGATCTCGGCGCTCGTTTCTGCCTGAGCCGACTTAAAGCCGATTGACTTACAAAACTGCTATTTGGTCCGCGCTGCACCGTCGACGAGATGCGTCTCCTTTCTACCGCTACAACAGGCCTCCGCGGCCTGTTGCGCCTTTATTGCTTGTAATCTCCGGCAACGAGCAATCAGCGAGCTTAACGTTAGCGACCGGCGACTCATTACGTTTCTTCGTTGCGCATACTTAGCCCGTCTCCGAGGCTTGCACGCGAATTCGCTTGCCGAAGTAAATCGTGAGATTCAGGCGAATCTCGTCGTTTTTGGCGTGTTCACGCGTCGCCTTTGAATCTGTGCGAGACGTGAAGGCGAGAGAGAGGATTGATCGAGAATGTGGGTGGTCGAAGTTAAAAATGTATAAGAAGCTGCTTCGTGAGCAAATTAAAGATGTCAAATATCTCGATAAAGAGATATTCTCAATATAGATATCATAATATTATAATGGTAGCTTAATCGAAATTATGTGTATGACTAATATTTACGTAATTAATTACTTTCTAGGTTTTGGAATATGCTTTTATGCTTAAATCAATGTTTATATAATAGATTTACGTAAATTAAACTATTCAAAATTATTGTAAAGAAGATCATTGAGTATATATGTTACGGGAAATTTGATTAAATCGGTTATTATGCATAATGACCGGGCAATATGCATAATTCCTGCTTCTTTTGGGACATTTAAATAATAAAAGCAAAAATGTTCAAATTAATCAAATTAACCGGTCATTATACATATTTTCCAATGCAAAATGACCATTCAGCATTGGAAAATATGCATAATAACCGGGAAATTTGATTAATTCTTCTCTATTAATCATTTTGACCAAACAAATTGGGAATTATCCATATTGGCTGGCCATTATGTATAATTCCCAATTTTTTATATTTCCCGTAACATATATATCTCTCTTCTTTCTTTCTTTCTCTCTTTTTTTATTAAATTAAATCTGATTAATAAAAAAACTTGAACTGATAAAAAATAATATTTTCTTCCATATTTATAATTATTTTTAAATTTTACGTTATATTAAAAATATATTTCACATGTTTTCGTGACAGCATAATTTTCGGAGTTTACGTAAAAAAAGTATATCATGTAACTTTAGAAAGTTAATGAAACAATTTCCTTTAAAAACATTTCTGTTTATTAACGTGTTCTGAACGACAAAGGCGTGGCCGAAAAGGTCCCGATTCCCGAAACAACTCGGCGGATTTTCGAGTGCACGTATTACGTCAACTCTATCGTCGCTTTATCCGAGATAAGTAATAATGTTTCGGGCATCACATACCGCGGAGGTCCGTCCGTAAATTAAAGCCGCGACGGGCCGAGCCTCACCTGCGTACACGAACGAGTTTAATGATTGTTTAATGGGGGCGCGTGTGTCGTAAATTATCCGTATATTCGACGGTCTCAAATGCTTGAAATTGCCTCCGGGTTCTGAGCACGGGTATACAGGCGGCAACCCGCTCTTTCTCTCCCTCTCTTCCATTGTCTTCCTTAAACCGCCATCATCTTTCGTTCTGCATCTTTGACCCGTATTCTCCTTTTTTTCCTCTGTTTTCTTGTTGAAGAATTACAATATGTTAAAGGAAACGCATTACTGCGAAAAATACCGCGGGTATTTTGCGCGGCATCGATAGGGACTTCGTTGCGATTTCGACCTTTGGGTACAGTAATAAAACTGATTGCAACAATAATAACCGTCTTCGAACCGATCGAGTCCATAAATGCCCATTTACGTCTCTATACGTCTTTATAATATCGTATTTTAAAAATATGCGTATTGCAAAATATATTGGGGACATTAATGTATTAAAATAATCATTTTTTGAAGAAATTAAAGAAAACGAAATAAATATTGTTGACCCTATTTCTATCTTTATGTGATATATACTTTAATAAACGATGAGATAAAAATAATGAGTTTAAGAAAGGGGAATTGTGAAAATGTTAGTTGGTGCCTTTAAATTTGCAATATTAATTACTTTATAGCATGTAAGATATACTTTCATAGTTCGTGCTTTATACAATCATAAATTTTTAGATTTCTTTACATAATTATCTTTATAATTTTATTATCTAAAGTTTACCTCCATGACGAACCATATTTCGTCGTATTCGGCTTTCTTAGTTGATCGTCTGCGATATATTCCGTAGAAATCCGGTAGATTTGAATGACCGGCGAAATCACGAAGAATATGATACTCTTCTACAATTAGGAACTGCGTTTCCGGCGTGAGCTTTTGAATCTTAATGGCAACTTTTTTATTTCCTGAAACACAATCGATATGTATATTTATCTTTGCGTGTGATTATTCTGCTGCAGCAAGCAGCAGTTTTCCCATGCTTCTGTATCTCGCGATTTATATTTTCATGGTTTTACACGAATTTCGTCTACATGAATGTATATCCTTTCGTTACGTACCAGCTTGCTGATCAATCCCTTCGTAAACATCGCCGCATATGCCAGTACCAATACGATCCTTCAGTTCATATCTCTTTCCTGGATCCTGAATACTATTCAATCGTTTAAGAGTCATAGATCCTGTGTCCCGGTTTTTACCCCGATTTTCCATTTTCCCCTGCTCATTTCGGACGTTATCGTGAAAATCGTTACTTTCTCGTTGTTTTCCATAACCGTAATCGTTCATTTTGCAGGTAGATAGTGTCTGTCACCTGAAATGTGCATGCTGGAATAGAAACCGAAATATCTACATATATAAATCATTCTAAATAATTAACAATGATTAAAACATATGCATATGCAGAAAAAAGTATTTTGAAAAATAACTCTTATTCTGCGAGTAATAGTTATTTTTATGCAATTAGCGATTCAAAAATTTGAGACAATATGAATATATAAATTCCTTTAAAGTAAATAAAATATTTATTTTGTGGGATAATTAAATAATTAAATGCATTAATTTTAGTTCGCATTAAACAATATCATTTAATAAGAACGATAACAGATTATATTAAACTCGATATTAAAGCTTCGATGAATTACTTTATCAACCAATGTGTAGTTTTTGTAGTACATATTATAGTAATACAGATTGTGTCATATAAATTTATGTATAGTTTCTTTTTTCAGAAAACTGATACTTATATATGGATGTGTACGTCGATGATAAAGAAGCTGCTCTTTTACATCCTCAAAGAAATCAGGATCGATATCTTCTTCTTGTGATCAAGTCGCAGGATCGAGGATGACTCTTCGAACGCTCTTGGAATATTTTAAGAGACGTCAAGATTGGGTCGGTCGAGTGTTTTAGCAGCCTTCCCCCCACCCTTTCTCGGACCACAAAGGTGAGTGCTAATTATATTCTCTCTCGAGTGCCCCGTGAACGAGTGGTAATCGCTAATTAGTACCTTGCTTCCTGAAAGCTTCGGCGGGCGTTGCCGAAGAAGGATGGGGCGAAGAAAGGATCGGAAAGGCGTCGTTGGCCGCGAACCTGACTCGCATCTCTGTCTGTTTATCGATCGTATGTTTTAATCGAATTATACAAAGCTTGCTCGTTGAGATTTAATCGAATTCTTCTTACATAACCAAATTAAGACGCGTCTATCAAAATTTCTCTCAGAAGATTATTTTTCTTAATTCGCGAGATATGGAATAATTATAAAACTTCCACGGTAAATTTATTATTTTTGTGTCAATAAATGTTTGCAATTTACCGATAAGATGGAATAAAACAAAATATATTATTATTTGCAAATTAATTATTTGCATATTATTATATTTTGCAAATATTGTTGTATAAATATAGGCGCTTCTTCTAAAAACAATTTCGACAAATTAATTCATAAACTTACCATTTAGTCATCAATACTAATTGTAAAGCTTGTATGGTTATTTTGTGACTGTTTCCTGGTACAAAAAAATGTACAGGATGGATATCTAGTCTATTTATCGCACACATATATTACGGTTTACATAAAAATATTTTAACATTCACCGCTAAGCGTATTTTAGTTGAATTTCCATTTACGCCGGATTAAATGATTTTGTAGAAGAACAATAAAATACTTAATTTATAGTGTTGAATTTATAGTATTAAGTTGCACAAAAAATATGATATATGAAATTTATTTGACAATCGCCCCATGACAATCACTGATGATTGAAAAAAAACTCAGTGTCAGTCACCAGTAACCATTCACCAGTCATAATGGTGTGTGTGTTAAACGTGTGACAGCAAAATCACGCAATAAATATTTTTCGTATATCTATATATTAAAATAGCAAAGAATCTGGGATAGTAGATAGCCAAGAGTTATTTTTTTTTATAATTAATGTTAAAATGTTATTTTCTTAGCTTACGCTTTAGCATAATCCATTTACGAGTTACTCCGATTGTTTTCATTTCTCTTCTCTCTAAGGACGCAGTTGATAAGCTTCATGAAAGTGTGCCGTTTCTAATCGGATTATCATTTGGTTTCAAATACTATTACAACAAAACGTATAATCAAGATTTCATAAATAAAAAAAAGATTTCATAAATAAATAAAAAGATATTTTCTTATTTTTTCTTCCTTAAAAGTTTAATTTTAACTTTTTAATATAGAAGAACGCGTTTTATAGGATATTTCTTTATAATTTTTGTCTTTTAGTAATTGTGCATCTTCGAAGATGCGATTATTTCAGTTAATTTAATTCTGCTTCGTTCATTATCGCGAATTAAGCGTCACACCTTCGAGTTCCTATAAAAAATTAATTTGCTATTTCTCGACACGTATCCTTGGATCTTCGCGAACTTGTATAAATCCCTAGCTATGCACAGGTCGGCGAGAAAATCACCGAGTATGCAGGGCGAGAAAAGAGAGGAGTCACGTCGTTAGCCAATTCATTTATTCCCGGTAGGTCGGCGCCCGTCCGGCATAATCCGTCGATTTGTCGGCACGGCGTGTCCCGTGTAATGCCGCTTCTTGCCGCTTGTAATCGAGTCGGAGGAAAGGAGAGCGACTCGAGCGAGAGGACGGCGCGTCACTGACTATATGTGAACGGCCGTAAGAAAAGTCACTCGATCCGGAGAACGTTCACAGTTCCATCCTCCATCTTCTCCTCCTCCTCCTCCTCCTTCTGTTAACTCCCGGCGCTCTCCAGGATCTTCCTGCCTCTGTCTCTCTGTCTTTGCCACCTTTCCTCTTCGTCCTGAGCTGATCCTGCGTCGCCTTTCTTTCCGTTTTGCACCGATGCCGGTGCAAGTTTATTGATACGGTGGGGCGCTAAATTATTGATGCCCGACTGCACGCCGCGAGACAAACGAAGAAGGAAAGGAGGAGGTGGACGTGGACGTATCCTGTGATTTCAGAAAAAAGTTTTCCGCGTCACTCGGCCCGTCACCGGTCTTCCCGCCGCTCGCTTCTCGTTGCCTTCGGCTCGTCCTCTTCTGCGTATTAAACAAGCGAGGTGAACTCAAGAGCCCGTGCTCTTTAAAAGGAAGGAAGAACTGTGGGACAACGAAACGCACATTGTGAGAAAGTTTCGCGCGATATGTATGAGGAACCATTGCGAGGTATGTGTTAATAGGGATGAGTTCACAATCTCTCTGATCTCTCTGATCTCTTCTGACTTGGCTCCTTTCTGAGAAAATGATACTTGTTCTCCGTTTACGTTGCTTCCATGGAAAACCGATTTGAATAATCGCTGCTTCTTGAAAAGTGTTATTATTGCTATTATTAGATAAATGCTGTTCTCGATTCTCCGTAAGTTTCCAGCGTCGCTATTGCTAAGAAGATTACCATAGTGCTGATTATGTATTTTTTTTTTAAAGATGATGGCAATTGGTAAGGCCAAACCCAATCCATAGCATTCCAGAAATTGAATCTAATCGCGTTGAGTAACTATTGATTAGTATATATCGGTACGCGCAAGGTGTAATTGCCGCAAGGCAACCGCTGATCTGTTGCAACCTCCATTTGCATTTCCCACGTGATCAATTGACTGATTGACTCATGCAACGTATAGAGATCAATAGGCTTCTCGACATTCGTTTCTGCGTTTCTGCGAAATTCGTACATTCGCTTCTCCAAAAAGCAGCTGTGTGGGAAAGTTGATATCTGCTGGGCCTCGAGGACGGTCGCCTGCCACAGCGGAATGTTAGCACCGCGAATCCCTGGGAAGAAACGGCAACGGTAGTAGAGTGGCAGAAGAAAAAAGAGGAGGGAGGGGGACAGGGGACCGAAAACGAGCGTCGTCGCTCGGGTCCGACCAGACTCGGGGACCTCGGGGACCAGTTGAAAAGGGTTCGGCACTCCTCCCGCTGGAAAGCACCGCTGGTGAACCGCTGTGACAAGTAGCCCGCTCGCTTCTCTCCCGTGCTCGTGCAAGAACCGCGCACTTGCTGTGTAGCGGCGGTATAATCGTTTATTTCTCTTCCTTTTTCTCGCGAACAATTATTATCATCGCGATTGAAATGCCCAGAGAGTTTTCGCTTATTTTCATAATAGATCTTGGATATATGGTAAATCCACTGCTCGAGTGAACCTGTGTAAAGTTAGCACCCTATTTTTGAAATTTTGAAATTCTAAAAGTTGTTTTGGGTTGTTCTAGACTTGTTCTAAATTGTTCCAGAAAATCAATTTTTTAAAATAAAAATGTTTGTGGAAAATTAATAAAAACAATTTTCTAACCTGGCGCCTTATTTTTCAAAAATCGAACTTTTCAAGGTTGTTCTAGGTTGTTCTAGTTGGTCTAAACATTGTTTCAAAATATTAGTTTAATTGGTCAAAAACTTTAAAAGATATTGAAAAAAAAAATTTTGGAAATAACAGTTTTTGGCTATTTTATTCGTAAATAAAATGACTTACAAAACTGTTGATTTAGAACATATTTATAACCGCGAACAAGTCAGAACACGGTTATAAAAATATGTTCTAATCGACAGTTTTGTAAGTCATTTTGTTTACGAATAAATGGCCAAAAACGGTTATTTCAAAAAAAAATTTTTTTTTAAATATTTTTTAAAGTTTTTGACCAATCAAACTAATATTTTGGAACAATGTTTAGAACAACTAGAACAACCTGGAACAACCTTGAAAAATTCGATTTTCGAAAAATGGAGTGCCAGGTCAGAAAATAGTTTTTATTAATTTTCCTCGAATATTTTTATTTAAAAAATTTGATTTTGTGGTACAATTTCGAACAAGTCTAGAACAATCCGGAACAACTTTTAGAATTTCAAAATTTAAAAAATGGGGTGCTAATTTCACACAGGTCTCGAGTGACGTATCAATTCTTTAAGGTATCGCGAAGTTAGCGCGAGTTGGTCCTTTGTTTTATTTTCCAAGTCGCTTTTTCTCCGTCTTTTTCTAAAATTCTCCCTTTGTGTAGTTTAGATTGTACTTATCTTTCGTTTTTGGTGCAGGCATCCGCAATGAGGCAATCGCCGCGAACACGCGTCAAGTCTTTTCGCATGCTGCGGTTCGAACTACTCGCGGCGTAGAAACGCGTACATCTCGAAGGCGGGGCTCTTACGCAGTCCTTTCTTGCTTCGCGTCTTGTTCCTTTTATAGATTCCCAGCGATCGATGCTTTCGGCAGATAAAGTATCAGAGCCTGTTTGTAGAGTCCAAGCCTGAGGTGTTGCAATTCTCGCGTTCTTGTCTCGAAAAATTGTGGCGATTGTACGCTATTTTCGTCAGCGGGC